GAGCAGGGTGAGGAGATGCCACCCGAGCAGTCTCTGCAGCAAACAAGGCAAACCACAGAGCCCAGGCTGCAAAAGCTCACAAGAAACCGAGCACCAAGCAGCATCCCAGCCCTAACACCAGCCACGCAAGCTGCCCAGCGCCCTGAGATCACTGCCCCACGAGCACCCACACAGCAGAGCTGAGCGCTGCCTTACCAGGATGCCAGCGTTCTTCACTGCCAGAGGCAGCCCCAGCAGCCCCGTGCCAACATTCCCCTTCAGGAGATGGATCAGGGTCTGGTACCACCTGAGCGAGAGAAGATGCAGAGATGACCACTGGCAGATGCCCACACCCAGACCTTGCACAGCCTCAGCCCCCAGTTCATCCTGCTCAGGGTCCAGCAGCTCTGAGCTGCTGCAGGAAACACACACAGAGATCCAGATCCTGCCCCCTGAGCCCAGTGGGACTGAGGAAGGACTGGAGACAAAGACTCAGACAAACAGATTTTGGGTGGGTATTTGCAAAACCAGCTCCAAGGCAGAACCCATGAGCTTAGCACAAGAGTCTCTGAGTTGAAGGGGTCAGAGGCAGCATCCTCTGCCCACCTGGGTGCATAATGGGAAGAAAGCCCCCAGGGCATGGCTGCAATACACCCACCTGTCCTCTGAAGCTGGATATGATGTTTGCTCAACACAGCTCCCCACTGAACCAACATGGATTGGGAAAAGCACTGAACTCTGCCCGCTGCTGCCAAGCCCAGCTTTACTGGAGAGCAGTGACACTGGGGCAGCTGCTCCCTTGGTGCATGGAGTCAGGACCACAACTCTACCCTCGCTATCCCCAGGAGGATTCCCCATAAAGCCATCACCCTCCAGCAAAGCCAACAAGGAGCCACCATCACCTCCTCCACCCTCTCCATGTGCTGGCCAGGAGGGAAGCATCACTCACGTGGTCCCATTGGTCTCCCCGAAGCGCTGGTAGGACTCAGGGTGAGCAAACCCATTGATGCCGCTGGGGGGGCTCCCCTCCGGTGTCACATCCGTGGAGCTGTAGTCGTTGTAGTCCTCGCTGCGGAGGCGCCGGGTGGACATGGTCCCTGTGGAGGGGGCAGCATTAGGGGTGCCCAGCTCAATGCCCCCCTTGGCAGGCTCCTTGGGGTCAGCCATGGTGCAGAGAGCAGCTCGTGCTGCCGGAGCAAGGTCTCCTCCAGGGCTTTTATAGAGCAAGGTGCTCCCGCCCAGGCAATCAGGGAGCTGGCATGTCCTAAGGTCAAGGGTGCACGGTGCATTCCCACCGGCTCTTCCTGCAGGCCTGTGCCCCTGGTTTGGGCACACCCAGCAAAGACAGGCTCAGGATCCTGCAGGAAGGGCCTGGATGCAACCTACTTTATGTCAGGTAAGTGTCCCCGTGTCCCCCTGCTCTAAGGGTGGTGAGTGTGACAACACAGCCACAGGCAGGGGGGACATGCTGGCAGCCCTGGGACTTGGCACTGGAGCTGTCAAGAGAATGGACAGGAAGGGAACGTTTCCCAACTTTTTTTTTTTAATTAGAGACTTTTTATTTAAAAGAATTAAAAGCACTGATTGTTGTCCAGTTCTGGGCCCCTCAGTTTAAGGACAGGGACCTGCTGGAGAGAGTCCAGCGCAGGGCAACTAAGATGATGAAGGGAGTGGAGCATCTCCCTTATGAGGAAAGACTGAGGGAGCTGGGTCTCTATAGTTTGGAGAAGAGGAGATTGAGGGGTGACCTTATTAGTGTATATAAATATATAAAGGGGGAGTGTCACGAGGATGGAGCCAGGCTCTTCTCAGTGGCAAACAATGATAGGACAAGGGGCAATGGGTACAAACTGGAACACAAGAGGTTCCACTTAAACCTGAGAAGAAACTTCTTCTCAGTGAGGGTGACAGAACACTGGAACAGGCTGCCCAGGGAGGCTGTGGAGTCTCCTTCTTTGGAGACATTCAAAACCCGCCTGGACACGTTCCTGTGTAACCTTATCTAGGTGTTCCTGCTCCGGCAGGGGGATTGGACTAGATGATCTTTTGAGGTCCCTTCCAATCTCTAACATACTGTGATACTGTGATACTGTGTGCTCCATCAGGCAGGAGCGCAGCCCGGGTGCAAACCACCCACTCCCAAGGTTTCCCAACCACAGAGGTGCATCATGGGCTTCCCGGGATGAGGCACCTGCATAACTGTCATGGGTTAAGCTCTTGCTCCAGGGAACACCCCAGCAGAGTCCTGCAAGCCAGAAGCACCCACCAAGGACATTTCAAGGAAGCCTCCTGCCTTCAGCTGGTTTAATTCCCACACCTGCCCTGAAGAGCTCCTGCTGCTTCTGCACAGCCTCCCATAAAGAGCCTCTGCTTCCTCCAGCCCCAAGCAGCACTCAGCACCAGAGGCAGGGAAATCATCTACCAGGCTCCTGCCCCACGGCCTGGTGCTCAGTCCCTGCCCCAGGGCTCCTCTGGGGTGTCATGCCCCAGCAGTCCCAGTCCCCCTGTGCTGATGGGGGGAGCCAGGCTGGAGCCAAGCAGAAGCAGCAGGGAAATACTACCGCAAACGGGCTCGTTTCCTGCCAGAGGCTCCTCCAGCACCCGCCAGGTCACGCCAGCACCCACAGGACGCTGCTTTATTTCCTGCAGCACCAGGCAGGGCTGCTCCATCCTGCGCAGCACCGGGCTCCCCACAGCGCTGAGCCTGCCCGCGGCTGAGGGCAGCACCGGCAGCACTCCCGCCTGCCTCCTCCCTCCTGCAATCATGTCCTGAACCCGCGGGCAGGGTGAGACAGGGATGGGAAGAGCGGCGGTGTTAGTTTATACAAGGAAAGCGTTAGATGCTCTTTGTCATGGGTGACGAGCCAGAGGAGCAGGGGAGAGACTTGGGAGGCTTTGCGAAGCATTAGGGAATGGCAGTGGGGAAGGGCAGCAGGCAGAGGGGTGCCAGGGTTGGGTCAGGCACGGATACACCTCCCTGGAGACGGTCTGTGCATTATGTGAAGTACTCAACAGCGATGCTCTCAGATAAAACCCAGTCGCATCAATCTGCCTGATGGCTCCTCGTGGTTTGTTTTTCTTTTCCCACAAGCTTTTTGCTTTGAAGAGCCAGGGAAGCGCACTCATCATGACTTGCCTTGTGTCTGGATTAAAGGTTGCATAGCAGCAGGGTGCGAGCACTTGGCTCCCCCGCAGTCAAGCTGCAAAACTTGTCTCATCCACCCAACAAACGCTTCAAACTGAAGCAAAACCCCACAACGTTTTCTCACCATTACAAAGAGCAAAGACAGGAGCGGCCACATTCGGTTTCCACTTTAAACCAAACTCCTTGGCCACTTCCATGTGCATTTTTACTCCCTATGCACATGAGCTGTTTCATTGTGCTGAGTGAAGCACCCAGGAAGGCTGGGGCAGGGAAGTGACAGCAACTTGTCCTTTAGACTGACAACCCCACACCACAAGTCAAAAGCAAGATGGAACTCGCTGCTGACCCCGACAGCTCTGCCCAGCTGAGCAAGGGCTGCGACACAAAACCCTCCACAAATGAGCTGCAGGACAGAACTCCCCATCACACTGCTTGTAACCCATCCAGTGTGATACAAAGGAGCCTGCTTGGCACAAACCTCCTGGTCCCACAGCCTTGCACCCTCATAAAGCAGCATGTCTGCACCCTGCAGAGCACAGGGCTCCCTGCACCTCACCCTGTCCACAGTGCCACACAGCACCCATGCAGGACCCACACACTCATGTCAGCTCTGGGCACCCTGAGGCACCCCTGCAAGCTGCCGGCAGCCCCTACATCCGCACAGGCTCTGAGCACACACACACACAGTCACATACATGGACCACCGGCTCCCATGCAGGCTGCAGCGCACTTCTACACACCTGAGCACCCACACTTGCTGCCAGCACCCCAGCGACCCCTGCACACCCATGCAAGGTGCCAGCACCCCCCTACACACCCTGCAGGCCTGCCAGCGACCCCTTGAGCGCTATCAGAGCACCCAACCTCCCCAGCTCGCTGCTGCACCCGGGAGAACCCCTTCGGGATGCCCGCACCCCCGGGACCCCCGCACACGTGCGGGACGCCGGTTCCCCCCCATGCATCCCTGCGCACGCCGCGGGCTGCCGGCCCCCCTCCGCGCATCCCTGAGCACCCGCATGCTGGCAGCGCCCACCCGCGGGCCGGCAGCCTCCGATACCGGCCCCATGGTCCCGGTCCCGGTCCCGTACCTCGCCTCCGCTCCGCCCCGCACCGCGGGGCCCCCGCCGGGCCGCTCCCTCGTCACGTGACAGCCGGATCAGCTGACCGCAGCGCCCGCTCCTGCGCACGGAGAGCGGTGAAGGCGAGGGGCGGGGCGAGGGGAGCGGCAGCGCCGCCGGGGCCGGCTCGTTGGGCGCACGGCAGCGCCTCCTGGTGGGCGCTGCGGGGACTGCGGGTGCGCAGCTACGGATGGGGGAGCGCTGAATCCCTCCGCGAGTGGGCACCGAGGAGCATCCCCCAGCTTCCAACCCAGAGTATCCTGTGAACCTAGGATCCTATGGCATGGCAGGGTGCCGCTCACTGCAGGTTTTCCATATGCAGCTGCACAGGGTGCTAAATAACCTCACCTAGGCTCCCTTTCCCCCCCAAAAAGGCTGGATTGGATCTTTCGAGGTCCAATCCAGGAGCTGCTCTATCATTCTGATTCTAAACCCCACAGAGCAAGGCAGGCTGGGGAGAGGGTCACTGAGGCAAGCAACACCCCAGAGACACCCAGGGGGACAGGGAGTGAATCCTCGTGTCCAAAAGCAGCGCCTGCAGATCCCATGTGTCCCTCACACAGGAGCCAGCCTCAGGGCTGCTCACACTCAGTTCTTCTGGCCACAGCATCCTCCACTGCTGCCCCCATCCCGGCCCCAACACTGCTTTTGCTTTCCCCACATGCTCAAAACCACATCCCTGCTATTTCAAGGCAAACAAATGTCACCCCCAGGTCACCCCCAGATCACCCCCAGCACCAAAAAGCACCAGCGCCGCCTCCTGATAAAAAGATTTATTAAGAACCTGCCCAAAAGGAGGATGCGGCCCTGGCACAGGCACTGCGTGACAGTGGGGAGCAGGGCGAGAGGGTTAGTGCCTCTCCAGGCAAAACAACCCCATTGGACCCAGCAGCAGGATGAAGCAAAGCGAGTTGAGGGCACAGAAAGGTGATGGGAGAACATCTGCGTGGCAGAGGACCTCCCGCCAGGGCAGCCTGGCAGTAGTTAAGGCATATAAAAGTGCTTGGAGGAAGACTACAGAGAGGCTACATAATGCAAGCAGGCAGGAACAGCGAGGGATGAGGGTGGCTGGTGAGTCACCTGTGCCTCTGCCTCATGGGACCTGGCATGGGCAGGCAGGAGCTGCAGGCAAGAAGGATGCTGCCTGCCCATACCTCAGCACCCAGCCACAGCCAGGAGATGGGCTGCAAGGCCCCCAGATAGGAACCAGGCTGCTGGTCTTCATGGTCATCTCAGTCCATCCCATGTCCAGGATCCTGCTCCATGTGTGGTGCACTGGAAGGATGGTCCCAGGACAGTGTGATGCTTCAGCTCAGTCCCAGTGGCAAAATGAGATGAGGGGGACTTGCCCTTGGTCCCCATTCTGGGGACACTTCTGCAGAACAGCCCTGTTTTGTAGGGACTAAACCAGCCCCGGCCAGAGGTGGTAGGGGCAAGCAGCAACAGCTAATCCTGCATCCCTCCAGCCTGCCCCAGCACTTGTGAACGCTCCCTCCTCCCCAGGGACTGCTCCAAGATATATTGCTTTTCCCTGGAATGTTTCTGTCTAAAATTACCCTAATGGGGTTAAGGAAAAGAGAAACCAGGTATAAGACAAGTACCCCCAGGTCATGCTGAAAGGGGTTAGGCTCCAAGGCCACCCTGTGTGGTGCAGGGGACACCCTGGGGTTGGGGTTGGGGACAGGACAGCCAGAGGAGCACAGAGCAGGGGTATGGAGCTGCCTCCTCCTGGCAGCAGGAGGGATGCACCTCCCGGGGATGGGTTGGGGTGCAACGGGGTGGGATGGAAAGGGGACAAGAGGGTGGGGAGCAGAAGGAGGTCCGCTGCCCCTCACTGGGACTGCAGGGAGAAGGCCAGCTTGACACAGCCCAGCTCCTCCCCACCGCTGCTGACAACCGCCCGCACGCGGTAGTTGCCGTTGGTCATCCAGGAAGGCAGCTCCATGTCGGGCAGGATGAAGTCACTGGCTGGCAGCGAGTAAGAGCCCTATGGAGAGAGGGGACATGGAGGGAAGACATCAGCTGAGCCCCCCAGCCCCACACCAAAGGGCACGGTGGTTCCCATCATCACACCAACATACCGCTTTGAAGGGGCAGTGGCAAGGGATGCCATAGGTGAGCAGGGGCTCTGGGCACGTTGTGCCGGGTGGGATGAGCTCATCCAGGATGGTGCAGACATCGTTGTAGGTGCAGCTGCCCAGCTGGTCAATGCAGGGTAATTGGATCCAGAGGTCTCCCAGCGCCTTCTCCACCACCAGCACAGCCTGGAGGGAAGGTGTTGAGCACTGGTACAGGCAGCACGAGCACCTATGGCTCCTCCAGCCTGCCCCCTCCCCAGCCCTCTCCTTCACCTCCTGCTCATGCAACTCTTTGGGGTGTCCATGGGGCCACCACGAGCCCTCCTGTCTCCCCTCCTGTTTTCAGTTCCTCTCTGCCTGCAGGTTTCTCTTCCTCCAACCTCACCTTGACCTCTTGAGCAAACACCTCTCAGCCCCGCTCCTTCCCACCTCCTTCACGCCCTACCCCAAAACCACAGCATGCTCCCAGTGGCCCCAGCCCCAAACATGCACCGTGGCATTGCTCAAGACACCTCATGCACCTTGGGCAGCGACTTGTCCCGTCTCATTCCAAAAGGTGCCCTAAAAGCAGTGCAGGGCACCCAGGGCTCCTACAGCAGGGCCGTGGCTTGTCCATGGAGGGGAGCAGCTGAGCCCGGCCACCCAAAAACGAGTGTTACAGTGACCATTGGGAGCACCCAGGGTGCCCTTTCCCTCCCTGAGTCATTACACCCAGGGCATGACACAGCTCAGGTGGTTTGTCCCACTGGGATAAAGTTGGGAGCTTCTCACTGGGCTGTCTGCTCCCACTGTGGATCTCCTTGTGCCCGTTGCCCCATTCTGGCTTACAGACCCCGATGTGCTCAGCCCTGCACCGTTCCATGCCTCATTCCCATACCCACTGCTGGGCATTTCCCAGCTGCCGGTGGTTTCGGGAAGCTCATCCTGCGGCAGCATCTCCATCACGCACCTTCAGAGGGGAGGCCATGGTCTTGCCGCTCTTGACGGCCGCGCTGACCCGCAGGCTCCCCGGGATGCTGATGGGGTCGGGTGCCACGGAGAGGCTCTGCAGCACCACGGGGTCCCTCTTGTCACCGCAGTTCTCCCAGGCAAAGCCACCAACCTGCAGCACCGAGGGATGGGAGGAGTTAGAGCCAAGGTGAGGCCTGACCTGGGTTTGCAGGGGCCCCCAGTGCTGGAGCCTTGACCCCCTGAAACATTACTCACAAACACAGCCAGAAAATGACCTTCAGCCACCCTTGGAATGCCAAATGAGCATTTCCCTCTTCATTTATCACACTCTCGCCTCTCTGAGCCTGAGGGCATCGCAGAAGCTCCCGGTCCAGCCCTATTGCATGTATTTCACACCTAAATGGGGTTCCCAGGCTGCAATCTCCAAACGTGCCTCAGCTCAGCCTCCAAACACTTTGTACACGAACAAGGCGAGAAGCCAATGGCACGGAGCAAGGTGTGTGAGAGCAAAGGCAACGGAGCAAGGGGGAACAAGAGCAGGGTGGCCAACCAGCGGGATGCTGTGGCTTGGGGTTGCCGTGGGGCTCGCACAACCTCCTAGCTCAGCCTGGCTGTTGCAAGCCCTCATCCACCAGCTCCAGCCACCTAGTTCTATGCAGGAGCAGGAATCACGCTCACAGGCTGTGTTTTAAACATGGCTGAACGTTTCCATCTCCACTCATGCTTAGGGGACAGACAAGCCAGGTTTGTCCCTGCTCCTGAGCTGCTTCAGTTTAAATGAGCCAGGGAAGCAGCATTGTCCTGTGGGATAATGAAAACCCACATGCAGGGGATGTAACCCAGAGAGGAGGGACACCACTTGTGTGTTCTGGGTGGGCTGGGAGCCATGCTGGGAGATCTCCCTTGTTTCCTCCGAGTGCCACCAGCCTCTCCAGCCATCACTGGCAACATCACCAGAGCCCGCTGCTCCCACAGCCCAAGCTCCAACACAGGGGGATGCCAGCACCCTCCTGCAATACCCACCCCTGAACCTGCTGCAAGAGACCAGCTCCAGCTCCCTCCTGGAGCAGGCTCCAGCCTAATGGCAGATGCTTTCCTGGCAGGGATGGAGGAGGCATCCCGAGCCGGTTTGGCCTGGGCAGCCCGTGTCTCCATGCCGTGGGGCTTTCCCTGCCTGCTCAGCAGCCACAGAACCGGTGGAGGCTGAATTACCTGGTGCCAGGCGGCAGCCCCAGCGGGCACTGCAGGCAGGAGCTCATCCTGCATCCTGCTCACCAGCCCAGGGCAGGACGGGGATGAGGGCAAGCCAGGACAAGGGGCAGGCTGCGCCCTGATGTTTAGCAAGAGCTGGGAGACCCCCACCCACAGATCTACAGGTAAAGAGACCCCATAGGAGCTAACGCAGTGCTGTGACACAGAGACCCTCCAGCCTTCCTAACCGGGGCAACATCAGCTTTCCTGGAAAATAAGTAAAAGAGGTTCCCCTTCTCACCGTGTGAGAGTCATGCGTTTTAATCAGCTGTATCTTAACCAGCGCCTGTTGATGAGCCCGGCCCAGAGCTGCGTGGGAACGAGAAGGCAGCAGCCCGAGCTGGTGAGCCGGAAAATCCTCACGGAGAGGAGGGATGAAACCCGAGGGGCTGGGAAGCTCAGCCAAAGGAAGAGGCCGCTGGGCCCGAAACCGTTCTGGTTCCAAACAGTTCGGCAGCGCTGAAATCCCCTCTGGGGCTCACCCCAAACCTGCAGCCACAGTCGTCGTCGTCCCCCACGCGGTCAGCTCCATGGGATCCCATCACCCCCAGCCCAGCCGCGCACCCCAAATCGACCTTGCAGAAGGACGAGACTCCCCAAAGCGCTGTTGTCCCCTTGTAAAACGCACCAGGACGGAGCGCAACAGCTCTCCCGCACCCCGCACCGCTGGGGCTGCTCCCCGCATCCCCCCCCCCAAGAAGCGGGGCCGGGGGTCTCTCACCTTGCCCAGCCTGCGGGACCCGCTCCGCTCCACCAGCAGCTGCGGGTGGGAGCCGCCGAGCGCGGCAGCACAAAGCTGCACCGCGCACAGCAGCAGCAGCAGCGATAGCGATAGCGCCGACATCCGCATCCCGACAACGCAGAGCTGGACCGGCCGGCGGGGAAGCGAAGCGGGGCGGGATGGAGGAGAGAGGAGAGAGCAGAGGCCGGCGGGGGCAGCCGCGGAAGGGGAGCGGTGGGACTGCTGCTCCACCTCCCGTTCCGTGCCCTCCCCCTGTGCACGCTCAGATTTTCCCTTCCTCTTTTCCCTTTTTTTTTTCCCCCCCTTCCCTTCCCTGGTTCTGTTCCCAAGCGCAGGACTGGATTCGCCGGGATGCTGGGACGGGAAGCTGCGCTTTCCCAGGCACCCAGCGACATCCACCGCCAGCCTCGGTGGATGCAAAGGGTCGGTACCGCCTCCCACCGCTTCATATCCCCCCAACTCTCGGCACAGATATCGGAGCCCCCAGACCCGATGGTGTGTGCTGCAAGGGGTGGGAGCACCCTGGGATTGAGTGGCCCATGGCTGGGCAGTTTGCCACAGCACTCACCAACCTTCTATCCAAAATCTCAGATTTAATGCTCTTCTCTTCCATGCTCCCCCTTCAGTGCTCATTTTGAAGCCAGAGCTGCCCCAAACCCCCATCATGCTGGAATGGCCCCACGGGTACACCGCCATCACAGACAGCACAGGAGGGTGGCTTTTCCCATATATGCTGGTGAACAGATGTGGGTTTTTTTCCCTGTGGAAAGCTGGAATGGGCACTGAGCATGGACAACGTGAGTGTGGAAGGTCTCAGACCTCCCACCACCTCCACCACAGCACGGTTAGAACCCATTTGTGGGACTCTTCCCCATAGGCAGCTCTGCTCCCCCTCGCACGCTGACACTGGCTGGCCTCCCCATATCATTCCCAGCCTTGGGAAGGCTTGCCTGGCTTGTCCAAGCCAGCGCTATTTTTAGCCTTTCATCCTTATTTAGCAGCGAGGCCGGCTGGGAGCGTGCAGGCAGGGCAGGGAGCAGGCAGGGACCGTGACGGATGCTGCTGCCCACCCTGCACCGGCAGCAACAACTGTGCCGCTGAGCCACTGCGGAGGCTTAAGGGTGAGGAATAAATAGCCTGGATCCTCCCACTTGGGAGCAGGGCCGAAAGTTATTCCTTGGGATTAGTTTTCACTTTGAGGCCCCAAAGCAGCCGGGGACGGGGACAGGGACAGGGATAGGGGAGAGGCATGGGCATGGCCAAAGCATCATGTTTGGAGCCAGAGGGAAGAGCCCCTTGCCTCCAGCCCCCAGCATCACATGCTTTCCTTCTTCTCACAACCAGTGTGGGTGAAGGTTTCACTCCCACATTCCCATCCTTCCCCCCTCCGTTTTGCTGTGGGGGGAAAAAAAGAGAATAAAGGACTGTAAAGACAGGTTAACCCACACCTTAGTGCTTGGAAAAACAGAGGCAGGCACAGGAACGACTTGAAATAGCTGCTCTACCTCAAGGCAGAAGCATGCATGACCCAGATCCCCACCAGAAGAGTCTGTGATGTCTCTTTTTCCAACACATGCAAGATCCTCTGCAGTTCAAACAGTTCTCTGAGCTGTCTCTTGCATGCAAAGCCCCAGTCATGAGGTCTCAGCAGATCTGGCTCAACATCTTCAATTTGCATTGAAGGGAAGCAGCAAGCACAGATGAGTTGATGACTTTGTGAGTTCTATTTGACAAAAGCAAACAGACTGCAAACAATGAGCAGGGTGAAGGATACAACCACAGACCACCTTCTCTCCGCTGCCTTGGCTCTGCATCACCCCAAAACCTCCCAGCAAAATCTTCTCCCCCTTTTTTTTTCCCAGTTTGGGTTAAATAATAAAAGAAACAAAATTTAAAATGAATGGTCCCGTTGCATTCATGGGACCACAGAGACCAAGCAGGGTCCCAGTTGGATATCCCATGTGCTGGCATCCGCACTGCCTTGTACCCACCCTATCCCACCCAGTCCTTACCAGCTGGAACTGGAGAGAGAAAGGAGACGCTTTAACAGCTTGCATGAATACTTCTCTTATCCATAAGCTTTGGCAAACACTTTAAATGACCATTGGTACAAATTAACTGGACGCTTGGCCAGCTGTTATCCCATTTATGGCAATTCAGCTTGGCGTGAGATAAACGCTCCTAAGCTCCCTTCTCCAGACAAAGCCCTTGAGATATCTCCAGCATCCTTGGGAGAGGTGGTGATAACACCAAAAGAGTCATCAGGGCAAACTTCAGAACAAGACAAAGCTGCCCCCGGTGGGGCTGCCACAAGCTGCTTCTGCTTCCTTGTCTTTGAATGGGGAGAAATCCCCTCGCTGTCATGGTCCCATCACCTCCAACCCTCTGCAAGCCTCCTCAGCCCCAGGTGCTCCGCAGATCCCCAGGCTCTGGAGAAGGGGATGAGTTGTTGCAGCCATGAATCCCATCCTTACAATGCCCTGGAAAGCCCCTGCTCTGCTCCAAAGCAGCTGGACACAAAAGTTTCTGGCTGTTTAAGTGCTGCCCTGGTACAAGTTATCAGTGTATTGGGGCAGAAGAAGATGAAGCAGGGCTGAGGTGGGAGATCTCAGCAGCAAGGACACATCCCATGCAGCCTGCATAGAAAAGATGGGAGAAACCAAGGAATTGCTAAAATCAAGCTAAAATAAGGGAGTTTGGGGGCAGCACAGGCATGGCCTCAGGCAGGCAGCCACATAGATGCTCCTGTGGGCTGAAGGAAGCATGTAACATCATTTGGTGCGGGCTCTTCTCCAAAAGTTAGTGATTTATATAAATGTAGGGTTGGAGCTGCCATGGTGAGCACAGCAAAACAGAGCCTGCAGCAGCAGCACGGGGTATGGAGCACTTAGGGATGAGGATGTGCTCACTGCACATCCCCAAGCTCCATCTCTGCCTTGCTGGCTTCCTGCCTTAGCCTAATGTGACCAAACCCTCTGGTTTTTCTCCACCATTAGCAAGAGAAACCCTACCCAGAGCCCTGCTTTGCGCATTCCAGTGCACCCCATCGGTGCCCCACAGTTAGAACCAGAAATGACCACGCTCACAAGTGGCAAGCTGCTGCGCCTTGGTGCACCAGCAGGATGTGATGGCAGCTGGGCAGGCTCCTCCTCAGCTGCCCACACAGCTGCTTCTGTTCGCAGCCATGGCCCCAGCGATGCAGATTCAGCCTGGAATACGCATGTGCTTTGTGCCTGCCCCTGCACGCCTTCAGCTCCCGAGTCTGGACCAGGATTTTTCATTACCCCTGAAGAGGTGGAGACCAGCACCTTGTTGAGCTTTTTATCCCACAAACCGGCTACTCAGCCCAAATAAGCACTCTCAGGCAGGGAAGGAGACTTGCCCCATGTGTGAAGTGCTGGGAGAGATAAGAACAGAGACGCTTGTGGTGGTTTCTGAGGGGTGGGAGCCGATGCCAGGAAGCCGCTGTGACTCACCAAACTTCACCCAGGTTAAGCAGCACCTACCCAAGAGCATGAAGCCAACTGGTCCCACCAGTCCCCAGGAGGCTTGGGGCCTGCCCCTCACCTTCCCCACCCTCCTATCCTAAGGGTGAGACATCCCAAGTGATGTTTCACAACTTACCCACTCCAGTCCCAGGGTTACCAGGGCAGAAAGAACACCTCCACATCACACGTGATGGGGCAGCCACACACCTCCGCTCCCTTGCCGTGTGGGCAGGAGGAGCAGCAGGGAAGCACCAGCAGTGCTGGCAGCCCCTGGGCCCGCAGCCTGCTTGGACTAATCCCAGGGGATACGTGGAAAATGTTAGGATAGAAACTTGTTGACCAAAACTGGCAGTGTTTCCATAGGGGCACAGCCTCGTGACCGGGGTGAAACACTCCTGTTGCAGCAGTGTTGGGTGGCACTGGTCTTTATTTCAGGCCAGGATGTGTGTTCATTTAGAAATGCCTGTTCTTTCATGGTATTTAAAGAATATCATCAGCACCAAAACATTCGGAGGAGCCTGCCTTTCCTCCTGTTAAGCCCTAGACAGGACACTTTCAAATCCGTGTGTTTTCCTGCCTCTCCAGGACCCATTTCCAAAGTGCAAGGTTTCCTCCTGGAAAAGAGCACCCTGGCTCCAGGCGCAGTATGTGGGGTGTTTGGGATGCTCAAGAGGGGGTTAGGCAGGATGCAGCCCCCCAAGCAGTATGGACCACAGTGAAAGCCCCCTCCAGCCAGCACAGCTACCCCTGTAGAATAAAGCACCCCAAAGCCACCACTTTTACACAACCACCCCAGGACAAGCTTAAACCTCACTGGGTGATGGCAAAAGCCAGGATGGATCCTGACTTTGCCCCTCTCCCATGTGGCTCGTGTGGGTTCACCAAGGAAGTACCATGAGGCTGCCCTGCTCCAGCTGAACCCCAACTCCAGCGCAAGGCCCTGCTCCCCCTTTCCCTTACCCCGGATGGAGCATCCTCAGTGCAGGGGACCCCATGGACAGACCAACCCGCAGGACGGGGGATCCTTCCACCTTGGAACGAAGCACCCCGAGGATTGGAGGGCTCGGAGAGCCGCCGGAGCACCCTGCCGGATGCCCATGGCCAGCCCCGGGGGCGGGCGGGCTGCCTCCGGGGGCCCTGCCCTTGGCTCGGGGGTGCAGAGCACCCTCTCCCGGCGCTGCCTGCGAGCAGCTGCGGAGACTTTTTTATTATTATTAATTATTTATTTATTCTGTATTTTTTTCCCTGCCTGCCAGCTGGGGCGGCTCGTCCCGTCCCATCCCGTCCCGTCCCGTTCCGTCCCATCCCGTCCCGTCCGTCCCGTTCCGTCCCGTTCCGTCCGGTCCCGCCGGGCAGCGGAATCCGCTCTCCGGGGATGCTGCGCTCCGCGCCCCGCGGCTGAGCCCCATGGGCTGCACCGGCAGCGCCCTGCGCTGCTGCCCCGTCGGTGGCCAGGTAGCGGCTGCGGAGCTGGGCTTGGGGTGGGCTTTGCCTGGGGTCGGGGCTTGCGAGGGGCGGGGGGGTTTGCGTGGAGCTGGGGTTCGCGTGGGGATGGGGGGTGCGTGGAGCTCCGCTTGCACTGCTGCGGGTGGGAGGTGTGCGGGGTGGGGGGTGTGGGGGGGTGGCGTGGTTATAACGGGCTGTGGGTATCCCATCGGGTACAGTGGGAGTTGCAGCCGCCTGTGCTGCACCCCTCTGGGCTGGACCCCCCACATCACCCATGCTAAACGGGGGTGACAGCGCCTGTTGGAAATTCTGGTCCCGTATAGGAGAGGGATGGGTTCCCCCATCCTCTGCCACTCTCCCACAGCATCCTCCCTTGCCCAAAAGTTGTTCCCCCTCTCATGCCAGGTCCCCCTTTGTGCTGAAGGCAACACTTCTTCAGGGGGATTCTGAGTCCCCAGCAGATATCAGTGCATTGCTCTGCACTGAAGACCTCTTGTGATTTAAGGTCTAGAAATTATCCACTGCTTATTATTACTCTTTTTTGATGTGTTCTCACTTTGCCATAAGCCTTGGGAGGCGTTCATGAGATTGTGCTGTGTGTAACTGGTGTCAGTGATGGCTGGAGGGTGGCAGGGGCAGGAGGAAAGCTGGAAAGGCCCCATAGTGCTGGTGTTCCCCCCTACATGGACAGCCCTTTGCAGAGGCAGCTGCAAGAGCTCGGTTGCCCGGGTCCATGTGTCTAAAGCACAGCCCACTGCTGGGATGTGTGGGGGAGCAGGAGTGGAGCTTGCACAGCCCCGCAGCCAGCAAGTGCCTTTATTTACAGCACTTGCAGCCTTGGCTGCTTCTCCATAGCATAGAAGTTACAAACAAACCCCAAACACTGTTCTCTCTGTCATGGGATCAGACACTTGTGGGCTGGTTTGTGACTGTGAGAAGGGGCACGGTGCAGGCAGAAAACAGCAGCCCCGAGGCTGCAGGTGCGGAGAACTGAAAGGAGGAAATTGAAGTCAGTCACTTGCCCGCAGACACCTCCCTTCCTGCCCTCGCCAGCTCCCCAGCTCCTGTGCTGAGCCTTGAGGCGCTGCTCACTGCAGTTTGTGCCCCATAAAACAGCCCTGATGCTGTGGCTAAGTCACAAGTTAATCCCCAAAGCAGCACTGAAAATCTCCTTTATGGTACCAAGGGGTGAGGGCAGGCATCAAGTTGCTCCCGCACATGTCCTCACATCCTGGGTACCAAAAGGCAGGTGGGAGACTTTCATCCTCCCACTGCTGATGGGTGGACTTGCAGAGGTGGTCCCATGGGGTTGTTTGTGGATGGGGGAACCATCAAACCCAGGCAGACCCGGGTGTGCATGGAACCATAGAATGATTTGGGTTGGAAAGGACCTTAAGGTCATCCACTTCCAATCCCCTGCCATGCACAGCCCAGTTTGCACCATGGATAATAGGAAAAGACATCATGGGGCTGGGGGCTGCAGAGGCTTTGGGGCCGGTCCCAGGTTGGAGGTGACCTTGGGGAGCCCATGCTGAGCTGGATCTGGTGGTGGATTTCATAGCAGGCACTGATGTGTGCCCTGGGGGAGGTGGCTTGGCAGCATCCTCCTTCCCATCACTGGTCTGCAGGGCGATAAGGAGGCACAGGAGAAGATGCCATGGACAAAGCCCGGCCCCAAGCTGCAGGCACTGTCCCTGCAAGTCCCCTCCCCTCCATCTCCATCCACACTTGGCCACCCATCACCAGCACTTGCCCTTCAGTCACGCTCCCAGCGTGAGAAAGGCTGAGACTCCTTCCCAAAGGATCAGGGCTGAGCTTTGGCCGCCTTCCAGTGCTGGGGTGAATTCATTTTGGAGATATAGGAACTATATGTAGCAGCAGGAGCCAGGGAAAGGTCAGGATGCAAAACTCAGGGCTGCCCATGGCATGAAGGCTTCGTACACAGTCTGCGGCACGGATCTGACTGTACAAGAGGCGATGGTTATCTCGTAACACAACCTCAATAGAAGAAAACCAGCAGCAGAGTCAAAGGCAGGGCCCACAGACCTGAGCCAGCGTTGCTGTGACAGCACTGAGCATCTGCTGCAGGTCCTGGGGAGGTTCTATAGGGTCACAGACCAAATCCTGGCCCTCTTCTCCAGGGCCACAAAGCAGAACCTGAAGCCCAGGAGCAGAGTTGGGATTTAAATGCTCATTTCCTGCCTCTGTGTGATTTCGTTTGTTGTTGCAGGGTTTCGTTGCTTAACACACTTGTAAAACAGGAAAGGAGGAAGAAAAACACAGTGCAAAACCCCACCTCATGCTGAAAGCTGAAGCAGAGGCTGCAGCTGCCTCTGTGCGGGACCTCCCCACCACTGGCATCTTTTGGGATGCCTCAGGTGCTGCTGGAAATCCCAGTTCATCCATCCATAAACAGCTCTGCTCCACACCATTAGAAATGTTTAGTTTTAAGAATGTAGGTCTTCTTTTTTATAGCTGGAAGGTATTTCTTGGCATGAGCCTCCCCAAAGCCAGAGGTTTCCATGATGAGACTTTACAGGATAAGCGGTGCTGCCGATGCCCTGCACCTGAGGGATGTTCCAGACTGCTTCTTCCCTGGGCCAAAGCCATTCCAGATGGAGCAACTCCCAACCTGCTGCTTTCATAGTGGATACTGGGACTGGCTCCCAGCTCTCCACAATGCACAGGTGACACCAGAGATGTGGGTGCCATGTGCTGCTCTGGAGGTGGCAGTGGAAGGTGCTGCTGGGTTTCCGTTTACAGCCATATTTTGCTTTTCACCTGGCTTTGGAGCTCTCATCCCAAAGGAGAATTGAGTGAAACTAGCTCAGGACACTACTGCAGCAGCTCCTAGAGGTAGGAAGGGTGTCTCCATGTTCATCCCATGGACAGTCCCCTCGCACAGCCCGTGCTTTCTAGCAGTAAAACCTGAGGTGTTTGAGGTTGCTGTGATGCTCCCAGGTTTGCAGAGCCACAACTGCCCCATCCACACTCTCCAGACCCCAAAACCCAGGATGGGACACGGGGTACATTAAATAGCAGGGGGATGCACATTACCAGGAGATGGGTGAGGGAGGAGGATGGAGACCCCGGAGCTCAGCAGCATCCTGGGGTGACCAACGTTTGCAGGGCAAGCTGCATCGGGAGTGAGAACAAGCTCTGTGAATCCCGACTATCTGGTTCCTCCTTATCCCACTGCCTGGGCTGTGTTCAACACCGCAGCTCTCACGCCATAGAAGGGAAGATAAAGCTGAGCTTCCCAGAGGCTCGGAGTCTTCTTGAGCCTCTCTGGCAACTGCACTTCCCCCCGGCTTCAGGAGGGGAGCTGCAGGGGAGCAGAGGCAGGGACCTGTTTGCTTTCCCCCGCGGTTTTCCCAAAGCAGGCTCCCAATGTGGTCTGTATTGATCCAAGCTCCTGAAGGCTGCAGGGCTGGTTTTGTTAGGGACCGGTGTTCTTAGAGGCTGCTTTGTTGGGTGCTGGAGAGCAGCACTATATCTGCAGGTGCATTCCCTTGTCCACAATGCATCCGCACCCCTACCCAGAAGCATGACGCAATGATGGGCATCAGGGGCAAGGTCCACCCTGCACTGGGGGGGCCGAGCTGCAAGAGCAGGCGAGATTTGCTTCTATCTCCCAGTAACACATAGAAATACATCCACGTCTCTTTCCTTCTCCTCCTCCTCCCCTCCAAGGGACTTAACCCAGCGCAGGGCTGGAAGGCATCGCACAGAGCAGCTCCCGGCCCTGGGTTCTATCAGCCCCCGGCTGCAATGGGAGCGTGTGGGAGCTCGGGGGCCCGAGCAGCACATTCCTGTGCTCCTGAGGTCATTGCCTGTGCCGCTGCCAGCCCTGCGCAGGGCCCGCAGTGCCTCTGGTTTATGGTGTTTTCACGGCTCACTCCCGGGCCAAAGCCTGGCTGTGTAAAGCATCGGCTTGTTTGGGATGCCAGGGACCAGGCTGACCCTGAGCATCCCAAGGCAGCAGGGTCAGGGCAGGAGGAAGGCGGCAAGGAAGCACCATAGCCACAGCCAGGATGAGTGCTGCCTGCTCTTCCCCACCAAATGTTTTGCTGCTGGACCCTATTTCTCACCAGCACCATGTCAGGGGGGTTGTGAGCATCCTTTGGGGTTTTTTTTCTATGCCGGGTTGGGAAGCATTCGGGATGAAGGGAAACAGCTAGGGGCTGCCTGCCAGGCATCCATGGATTCTGGGGGCTGTCAGAGGGCAGGGAGGGACCTCTACTGCTCGAGCACCCGTGTTTTAGGAGGGCTTAAGCATGCCCAGCACAAGGTGCCTGCTGCAGGGTGTCTTGTGCCCTGCTTTGTCCCCCTTGCTCCAGCCCCTTCTCTCTCTTAGAGACAGCTAAAAGCCCAGCAGCAGAGGGGACCTGCATCCCAGGAGCTCACGGCCCTGACGACAGAGCACGGTGAGAAGATGTGTGTCTCCTTCCCCCTGATGTGCTTTCCTATTGTGGTATTAATAAAGCATTAGGATGGACCACAGGGTGGCCAGCCTGCACTGGGGAGGATGGGGATGGCGGCTGCAGCCTCCACGTGGCACTGGTGCAAGTGGGCAGATACGATGGCATCCCAGAGATGATGGCATCCAGAGGTGATGGTATCCAGAGAGGATGGCATCCCAGAGATAAGGCATCCCAGAGAGGATGGCATCCAGAGATGATGGTATCCAGAGAGGATGGCATCCCAGAGATGAGGCATCCCATCCTCTCAGGCAGCCCGGTTGTCCCCTAATGAGCTGTGTCCTCCTGAATCTTTCAGCAGCATCCCAATTAGTGCTAGTTTTCACCAGTGAGATGGGGGGCAGGTATTTGTCCAGTGGGAAGAGGACAGGGGCTGAACCCAGGCCAGGGCATCCAAGCAGCCCAGTTAGCAGGATGCAGCCAGCACCATTCCAGCCACATTTGCATTGCAGGCAATGCCACCCTCTTGCCTGAGGATGGGAAGGAGAAGGCAGCGCTGCCGGAGGAGCGGGCAGAGAGTACAAGACTCCTCCAAGGTCAGGAGGAGGATGAGGAGGAGCGGCTGCATGATGCCAGATGGGAAGGCACCAAGGGAATCACCCAGGATGGTGACATCCAGGTCAGTCAAATATGTGGGTGTTGCTGGGGACGGCAGCTGGGCAGGGAGCATGTGGCCAGCCAGGAATTTCCAGGCATCAGTCATGGACCAGGAATGTGTTGGGCTGAGAACTCCTGTTCTAGGGAGAAGGAAGGGGATAGGAGGCCTGGAATGGTGCTGGTCTAGCAATGAGGCACAGGCGGCTGGGAGGGCCACAGCATCCTTCACACCGGGTCATACAGGTGGGGTTTGTCATCTCCCTGCTTCCCAGGTGGAAAAGGGAAAAGACCTGGAGCTGAAGGAGCAGTTTGATGCCTTGAGGAGAGAGCACACGGAGACCCTGCAAGGTGCGTGCTGGGGCAGCAGGGCTCACCCCAATACTGTGTTCCCCCCCAGCTCCATGGCTCCTTGGGGCTCCTTGCCCTGGTGTCCCCACACCAGGGACACTTGGTTCACGTTCCCCCTGCAGAGCTCCAGAGAGCACACGAGGAGGAGAAGCTGCTGCTGGCAGAATCCCACCACAGGTCCCAGGCAGCCCTACAGGTACCTGTGGGGAAATCCCTGGGGAGGGGGTGTTTGTGGAGGGCTTGAGGACCGTCTGCTCCTCTGCCATGGTGCCCCAAGCTCCTCAGTGGTCAGCTTGGTCCTGGGGACCATGCGGTCTCCTCCAGCCCTGGGGCTATGGGATGCCAGAGCCCAGCTCTGCTTAGGAACGAATCACAGATGTCTCCCACCTTGCTTCTTCCCTGGCTGCCCTAGGAGACGATCCAGGCACTGAAGTCCCAGCTGAAGTCCTTCCAGGACAGGATGAAGCGGGTGGAGGAGTCCCTCATGAGCACAGACTACAAGAAGCACATTGAGGTGCAGAGAGGGGTGGCAGGGAGGGGATCTGCCTCTGGGGTCCAAAGCTTCTCGGATGGACCCTGAGATGCTGGGGAGGGCACAGGGCAGCTGAAGTGGGGAGCAAAGCCCCATCCCTGGGATGTGCGTGGGCTGTTGGGGTCTCTTGAACACAAGTGATGGGTGAAACATGTATGAACCATGGCAGATACCCCAGTGCCCACCCTACAGCTGCCCATGCCCTGTGTTCTGTAGGAACACGGGAGCCCCAGCCCCTTCTGGGAGCAGGAGCTGGAGAGCCTGCACTTTGTCATCGAGATGAAGAATGAGCACATCCATGGGCTGGACAAGAAGCTGCTGAACCTGGAGACCGTGGTGGGTTGAAAGGAAGGGGGGGTCACAAGTGGGTTTTGCTCTTTCCATCGTCTCTTCCCACCTGAATCCCATGCAGAAGGTGCAGCTAAAGAGGAGGTGCATGGAGCCTGGCTCCTCCCTTTGAGCAGGGAGGGGATGCGGCTGCAATGCCATCACTTTCTGCCTCCCTCCTCATCCTCATGCCCACTTCCAGGCAGAGAAGAACCTTCTGCTGGAGGAGAAGGTGAAGACTCTGCAGCAGGAGAATGAGGACCTGCAAGTGCGCACCCAGAATCACTTGCTCATGGCGAGGTGAGCGCTGGTTCCGTGCACCCCGGCGGCACTGGGGACATCGGGAGAGCCCACGGTGCCATTCACAGATGCTGTTTCCCCACAGGCAGCTCTCAGAGGAGCTCCTGGCTGCTCGTGGAGCCCCGGAGAAGGAGGCCCAGCTACGGGAGCAGGCACACCGCGAGAAGGAGGAGCTGCTGTACCGCGTGCTCAACGGAGGGGACGGCTCCCCATTCCCCATCGCTGCCGGCGAGGTGCCCCTCATCACCACGTAGCACAGAGCCCAGGGCTGCTCTCACAAGTGCCCCACTGCCGGGGCAGGCCCCCAGGCTGGCCCCATCCAACCAAGGGCAATGGAGCATTTCACAGGACACTTGTGCCTGCCTTTCCCCAGCCCATGCGGGGCACCCTGGCAACCCCCCCTGTGCCATCCCTGCACCCCTTCCTCTGGTGGGAGGCTTTCTAGGGGTAAAAGGGGTCAGCCAGGACACACAGATTGGGCTGGATCCAAGCCAGTGCTTGCCTCTGAGCATGACCAGCATCAGTGCTGCTTGGGGGCGTGAGGAGGAAGATGAGGCGGTCACTGGGATAGGGATGAGCACAGGGAAGCTGAGGAGAGCACTGGGGGTATGGTGGTGGTAAGGTACCTCACTCCTGGGGAAGGAGGTGGCCAAGCCCAGGTCTGAGCCACAGAATGGGTGCAGCTGGGTATATCTGCCACCTCCAGCACTGCCCCTGCTATAGACCATGCCAACCTGGCCCTCCCACCGATACCCTCCTCACCTCCTCCATCTCCAGCAAACAGCTCCCAGGGAATCACTCCTCCATCCCAGGCCTTCCCCCAGTCACTGCCACACAGACACCAAGGCCTCCTGTCCCCACTACACATCAGCAGCACCACCACCATCAGTGCCATCTTTTCCCCCAAAGCCAGGCAGAGGCTGCATGCCCAGAGGTGCACATCTGGGGAGCAGAGCATCCTCCCAAGGAGGAGCAGGCATCAGTGGGTCACATCCCTCCCTGCTCCAAGCCAGCACATCCCCATTGGGAAGATGCTGCCAGCGGGGCTGGATGCACACAAGCACTTTGCACTGGGTGCATGAGCACAGTGGGATGGGCACTGCTCCGGGGGCTGTCGAGCCCTGGTGTGTTTGTGTGTGTGGACGTGCACCAGGCCCATGTGCCACTGGCTGTAACAATTACAAGTCTGTAAGAAGCAGCAGGCTCAGAACCCCATGTTGGTGGGTTTGGGGATGGGGCAGGAGCATCTCACAGCAGGGCTAAGGGGAACATGGGGAGGGGTGGGAGCAGGCGCCATAAAACCACAGTAAGGTAGCCCCTACTGTTGGTCCCCCTTTTCCTGCTCCTTCCCTCATTTCATTCATTTCAATGGGCTCCTGCACAGAGCAGACCCCAACCCTCCCATTCCTGCCAAGCTGGCAGGGCCACAGCAACTGCTGCTTCCGTCCTTTGTGCTGATCCATACCAGGGAAACAGCAGCTGAACGAGGCAGCCAGGAAGGCAGCAGGGATGTGGGGTCTGGCTCTTACCCTAACCATCAACAGTAGGAAATGGGGGTGCCTGTTGTGTCAGAGTCATGTCCCCCCCCAGGGCACCTACTGCCCCAGGCACCCCCATGGCTCTGGGAATGGATGGCTCCATCTTTGCACAGCATCCTCAGGGATGCAGCAGGTGCTGGAGCATCAAAGCAGAGGAAATGGAGAGGCAAACCCTGCCTAGCTGTGATTGAAGGGGGCAGGATCTCCTGGCAAAGGGAGACGAGGCTGGTGGGGTCTGGCACCCTGCTCGGGGCACCTGGTACCATGTCCCAGTGCCCTCAAGGCAGATGCTGCGTGGGACCTGGAGGAATGTGCCTGGCTCTGGGAAAGGGGAGCCCTGGGAACTGAGGAGGAGGAATAAATGAGCCCAGAAAGGCACTTGCACCACCACAAGGAGGGGAAAAGCTGACCCAAGCAGTGCCTTGGAGAGACAGGCAGATCAGGGCAGCACTTAGAAGCCTCCTGCTCTGCTGTGAGCAACTGAAGGGCTGGGGTGTGCAAGGGGCAGAGGGCAATTGGGAGGCTGCAGGGAGAAGTTCCAAAGGCACAGAAAGTTAACCCACAAGGCAGTAACAGCAGCAAAGGCTTGTTTGCTTTATCCTCCTTTGGCAGCGGGCTCACCATGAGGATTCAGGTTGCTCAGGGGATGCTCACCAGGCTCTGGAGGATGTGACTTGAGCCCAAAGGATCTCTCTGCCCCCCGGGCACAGGGTGGAGGGAGCCGGGCACTCAGGGACCATCTCCCCCCCTTTTATTGCCCCGGAGCAGACAGGCACTGCACAGTCCTGCAGGGCTCCAAGGCCACTTCCCTGCCCGTGCTTCCCATTGCATCCCCTGGAGCTGCCCCTTCAGGCTGGTGGCTCTCAGCGCTGTGCCGGATCCCGGAGCCAAAGTAAATAAGGAAGCCTGGGAATGGGCAGAACAGGGTGGAGAGCCTGTCTTTTCCCTCCCCTCCCAAACACAGTGTAATCACCCCTTCCCTTTGGGCCCCATATCAGAGGACAGAGTGTTCCCACCACCCTTTGATATCAAAGTTCAGCATCTCCTCCATCTGCCCTCCACCACTCTGCAGACAGCATTAGCGCCACTGGCTCTCAAACCAAGGCTTCACTAAAAGAGGTTGCTACCAGCTCTGGGATGTGGAGGGCATCCAGGCTTACCAATGGCCATCCAGAGCAGGTACCACAGCCAGGCACCCACATTGAGCCGGGCCATGAGGATGCTGCTGATGGTGATGCTGAGAAGCGGCAGGAAGGGTAGGCAGGGAACCTGCAGGGACCAAGTACAAGGGAATGGGGTCATGAATTCACAGAGATGGACCAGACAGAGGTTTCACAGTCAAGTTCAGCTCTTTGCAGCTTTAGGTAAGTTGCCAAGAGGTGGGAGAAAGGTGTGAGGCTTAGAGAGATGAGCTAGGACCACAGCCTATGCTGGAGAGGGGTGCTCTGGAGGGTTTGGTTGATGGGACAGGAGGTACTGCAGGGTTTGAGGGGGGAGGCAGTAAAGCACTGGCAAAACCAACCCAGGGTGTCAAGACCGGGTATCCTTTTACTGAGGAGCAGCTCTGATTTGAGCAACAGGCAGTGGGCTCAGTTGGGGCTGCAGGAGGTCCCCCTTTGGCCTGTGGAACACGGTGGGGAAGAACCAGGCATGGTCCCTATGCAAAACCCCAAGACCAGTACAGCACATTGTGGATGCAGTGAGGGTCTGCCTGACCTCAGCAGAGAGAACACACAGCCCACATGCAATGTAACCCTTTCCCCAGGGGGCTGTGGCACTTCCCTGCTCTCCATCCCGCAGGTCCCTGAGGCCGGGCTGTGTGCTCACCATGAAGGATGCTCTCTCCCGGCTCTGAGGCTGCCTCCAGATGAGCAGGGCTGCCACCAGGATCCCCAGGAGAGGCAGAGCCAGGGCAGTGATGCACTGCAGCCCCATGGTGCTCACCCAGCTCACAGCACACACCAGGGTGGCTGCAGAGGGACCGCAGCAGTGTGAGGACAACGCTTCCCCATGCTGATCCCATCCCTCACCCATGCTGCCGCGGTGGGAAGGACAAGGGGCTGGGAGCTTTGCCATGGTGGGTTTAGCTTTTCCCTCCAGGAGGGAGCAGGTTTCCAAAGGTCCCATTGGGGCAGCAGTTGTGCTGCAGTCAGGAGAGGGCAGGAGGGAGCCAGACGGATCCTGCTGCGGGATGGTTTACAGCGAGCAGGAGCCTGCCAGCCTGTGCTACAGCAGCAATGCCCTGTGGTTACCCCACGCTGGCTCCCCATAAACCCCATCCATCCCTCTAGGGCGTACCTATGGCTGTCAGAGCCCAGGCCACTGCAGAGGAGGAACATGGGGTGGGATGCGAGGGTGGATGGACAAGATGGTCCCACCATAGCTGCACAGCCAGGGCCTTCCCTGCAGGAGTGTCCTTAGTGTTGGATCCAGGCCGATACCTGAGGAGCAGTGTTGGATGTCCCAGGTATTGCCAACATCAGAGGCTGGGTGAGCCCTGTCCCCAGCACTCACCTGAGCAGCAGCACACAGCCAGCCACCAGAGAGTAAGCCAGCAGTGTGCCGATGGACATCATGTCAATCAGGGCTTTTAGGTCAAAGAGGAGGGCCAGGAATGCTGAGGGATGAGAAGCCCTTTTCAGCCTCCCAGCAGAGCTGTCAGCACTGCTGCTGTGCCCATCTCAGCTGTGCCCTCTGCTCTCCCATATCCCCCAATGCCCGCTGCAACTCAAGCACCTCGATGAGCTGGTGATGCTTTGGTCTCCGGTGCAAAGCATCCTGCCACCTCCTGCGTGGTAGCTCAGAGAGGCTGAACCCAAGGCCAAATATCCTCACCCACAGTGAGGAGAGCTCTCTCTGTGTATAGAGATATTGCTCCAACAGCTACCAGCAAGCTAGGGGGGTCTGTGTTATCCTGCTGGAAGAGAACACCCACCAAGCCCTGCTATGGGTAAGGGGTAACGCAGTCACTCACCTGCCACTGCTCCAGACACCAGCGTTGCCACCACTGGGCACTGATGGCAACTCACTTTGGCCAGAGGTTTGAAGAGGAGCCCATCTCAAGCCATTGCATACAGGATCCGTGGCATGGGGAACGTGGAGCCCAAGACACTGCAGAGAAGGGAGGAGAAGAGAGCAGGAATCCAGGAGGTGCCATCCTGCCTTTTGCTCCTTCTTGTGTGGAAAGGGAGCTCCAGTTCATCTGTGTGGCCATGACCTTCTCAAGAACAAATCCATCACCTGCCTCCCCATCAGATGAGGACCAGTATCAGGGAAGTGATATCCACAGGTCATGGAGAGCCCCGTGCACACCAAGACACCCCAGCCTGCTCCTGCAGCCACGGTGCCACCAAACACCTAACCGCTTCCTTTGGGGCTAAAAGCAGCATGACAAGGGGTATATTGCTGGTGAGGAGGGACCAGGATGGGAGCAACAGGACTTGTGAGGAAGGGCTGAGGGATTTTGGCCAAGCAGGGCAGTGGGAAGGGACTGGAAATAGCTTCTGGATGTGTTACAGCTCCAGTGAACCTTGCCCTGAGGCACAGAGCTGCCATCAGAGGACTCCCCTCACCTGGTTGTCAGGGCACACAGTGACCCCACGGCCACAGCGTGCTTTGCACTGCTCCAGCCAATGTACTCAAAAGCCACTGGGAGCGGGCTCATGGTGTCCAGGAGGTAGTAGGGCATCATCAGGGTGAGGGCAGCGGACACCCCAAAGTACGCCAGGAAGCAGATGAGGAGGGAGAGGACGATGCCCATGGGGATGGATCTCCCATGAGTGGGTTCCTCACTTCTTCCCCTGGGGGAGGACAAGCTCAGCTGTAAAAACAGATGCTCATTCAATGTGCATGGCATGCTAAGAGCCAGCTCAGGCTGGAGAGCATATCCCATATATCCCCCCAGGAGAGAAGGGACACAGAGGCCTTCTCTCAAGGACATAGAGCTCCTGGGCTCCAGGATTATGGGGACATGCTTTGGGATTAGCCCAGTCATGCCACATGGACTCTTACAGATCCTCCTTTGAGCACAGAGGACAGGAAAGAGCAACAGAGCCAGGAATGTGCCCATTCCCAGCCCTACACTAGCTTCTGCAGGGAGAATCACTGCCATGGACCCCAGCCTGCAGGGCAGGGTCCCACCAGCACCTCTCCCCATCTCACTTACCCATGGTAGCGATGCAGTCAAACCCAACGAAGGCATAGAAACAGGTAGAGGCTCCAGCCAGGGTCCCATTGAAACCATAGGGCATGAAGCCTCCCACCCCAAAGGCACTGGTCATGTTGCCAGCCACAGACTGGTTCCTGGGAGGAGGAAGAGGCAGGCAGCGCAGAGGGGTCAGTGCAATGGGGGTATCAGGCAGAACAGTCCATTCAACCAGCATCAACCGAGCAGCATGTTGGTTGTTTGTTTGGGGGTGGGGGGTGGGTTTTGGGTGTTGGGGGATGACCCATCCATCCCCACCACCCTCTGTAGGCAGCACAGGGAGATCGGATCTCATACCCAGCTGCCCATGGCACGTCATCCTCCCTGAGCTTCCAGTTGCTCAGGTCACCTTTGATGAAGCCACTCAGTGTGACAAAGAGCAGGACAAGCCTGTTGAGAGCTGTGAAAACTTTGTTGACTGTGGTGGACTCCTTCACTCTGAAGGAAAGAAGCCCTGGGGACAAGAAGAGTGAAAGTGGCTGAGCATCCTGGATGACACCAAGCCAGGGTAGACACTACTGGAGAGGGTGGAAAGAGGGGAACAGTGACAGAGTCAGAAGGATCTGCAGATTTCCCCAGATCCCCATTGTATTCCCCATTCTTTGCTCAGGGAAATAGCAAAGCCTCAGAGGGATCAGCACCATCCTGAAGGTGGGGTGAAGAGCTCATCCTGCATGATGGAGGATGGCACAGGGGGCAGCACCCTACCTGCTAGCAGCACCACCAGGCCAGCAGCAAAGGCATCCGGGTGCTCTGCCAGCCCCATAGAGCTCATGGCTGCGTGAGCACCCAAAAACCTCCCCATCTTCTTGCCGAGGAGCTGGTCAAAGGTAGCGCTCCAGGCCTGGGCAACACTGGCAGTACCTGGGGAGAGGTGATGGCTCCATGGGGTCTGGGAATGACACCCAGCAAAGGTAGGGGGATCAGAGGGGCCTCGTACCAATGACATAAGACAGCAGCAGGTTCCACCCAGCGATGAATGCCCACAGCTCACCCACTGTCACGTAGCTGTACAGATAGGCACACAGGCCCCACACTCAGTGTAGCACAGCCCTGCCAGAGCGGACACCATGGCTGCAATCAGGAAAGAGAGGACGATGCTGGGGCCGGAGCTGGTTTTAGCCACCTCCCCTGCCAGGATGTAGACACCAGCCCTCAGCGTGCTCCCTACTCCCTACTCCTACTCTCTCACGGTGGAGAGGCAGCGGTGAAGGATGGAGCGCTCTGAGGCAGCCGGGATCTGCTTCCTGCGGGAAAGCATCCTTGGAACAGAGAGCAGCCAACCCCAACACGGCACCTGCGGGACAGGGGAACAGCGGGAGTGAGGAGGATGCTGCCCCCAGTATAAGACTCAAACCATGACCATTTCCCTTGCAGCTCCCACCATTCACACAGTGATTTCCAGACTCCCTGGATGCTGCCTGTTTTCTGTGACAGAAAATGAGCCCATTTTGGAGTAAGACTGGGCTAAAGTGGCTGTGTTACTCTTATCACAATCAGAAGTGGATAAATGCATGATTAGGGCTTGCTGGGCTCCAATTTGTGCTATGGTGCAAAGGGACGAGGACACCTGCCTGTCCCCTGCCAGCTCAACAACTCCTATTGCTCCAGCAGCATCCCTAAGCAGGGACACAGCCAGCATTGTCCCCAGCTTCAACACTGACACTATTTGAAATGCAGAAACAGGGCCAGAGAAGGAGGGGTGGAAGATGAGCTGCTCTTGAGCAGCTGTTGGCCTCGATGTGCACCAGATAAGACCCATCTGCTCAGCTGAAGATGCCCCCACAGCACCAATAACTGTGTCAATGGCACAGCTCAGACAGGGACTGGTCTCCCTGGGCCATCAGCCTGTACAGCAATGCTGTGGCTTACTTGTCACTGATGGAGATGTCAGCCCAGCAGAAACTCAATAGTGCAGTATTAGTGCATCAGACAAGTGATGTGCTGGTACAGCACACCTGGGATCTGTGTGCCTCCCCCCCAACCTTCCCCAGGAGCTCCAAGCGCTGCAGAAAGGGGGCTGCATGTCTCTACATCCACACAGTGCTGCTGGGACCTCCAGTTTCCCTGCAGCAAAGCAAAGTCCGTGCTGCAAATCCTGTAACCTGCTACCTACAGGGCCAGGGACCCCCTGGAAACCAGCACATCCCAGCAGCACTGGAGGTCATAGGGCTGTGCAGTGAGCCTGGCGAGGGACATGGACCACTCTGGGGCAGTACCCAGCACCCTGAGCCACAGCATGGGATGCTGTAAGCCCTTGTAGCATAGGGAATCCCAACCTTCAGGACAACTGCTGTTTCTCCAGGGGCTGAAGAGCTGCTGCTCAGGGACAGGCCAACTGAGGCTGCCTTCCCACCCCTGCAGCACCCACTCCCCACCACCAGTCCCACCCAGGGCATCTCACCCTGATGATTTCCCCTTATTCTGCAAAGCAACTACTTACTCCAGCAATCCTTATGGCAAACAGCTCCTTCTGCGAGGTGATGGTGAGCACCAGGCAGCCCCAGCCACACTCTCCCCTCAAATCCCTTATGGGAGAGCCCTGCTCCCCCCCCCCCCCACTGACCACCACTCTGGGCTGCACAATGGGGAATCTATGCAGAAATATGTTTCCCACAATGCCTTCCAAACCATCCCCACGAGCCTGCAATGCTAATGGGCTCAGGGGCATCACTGAGGGGTTTAACTGATAGGGCAAAGCGTGGAAGGGGGAACCACCTCCCTCTGCCCCCATTCCCTCATCTCAATCTGTGGAGCAGGTTTTAGTCACAATCCAGGCAGAGAGGAGCAGAAGCACAGCCAGGATGCAGGGGTGCATGCACCTGCAGCTGTACCCAGACATACAGGGAACATAGAAAGAGATGAGCAGATCCATGAACTGACTGCAGCAAGGCAGAGGAGCACAGACCCTGCACTTCCCCACTGTTTGGACACTAACACCCAGATTCTGCCCACCCCCTGTCACAGCCCCATTGCAGCATTAGATAAAGAAGCCCTCAATCACCCAAATGCAGCTCACAGCAGAGCAGGCAGCACCACCACCCATCACTGACCCACTCAGCCTTGTCCTAGGAACAGGACTGCAGCTCTTAGCCCAAGCATCTGCTCCATCTAAACATCCAAAGTCTACATCTCCTGTCTTAGGAATAGGAATGATTGCAATGGAAGCAGCAAAACCTGGATGCTCCTCCATAAATACCATTCCTAACACAGGACCTCCTCCCTAAGGTGCAGCATGCAGAGGCTGAGCAGTAAAATACAAACAGAGGCTGAGGTGGGTCCAGGGCTGGGCTTAAATAGAGGCCCAGGGTTGGCTGGGTAAGGGCTTCAGGTGAGGCTGATCAGGGCCAATAAGGCATATAAGGGCCCTCAGACCCCAGCAGAGCTTTTCTATAGTGTTGCTCCTAGCAGTGAGAGGATATATGGGATGTGATGGTGTAGTCTGGCTGGTTTTAAGTACCTTAGGAGAAGAGAACTAAGGCTGGGTTTTCAGGAGAGGCTGGAAGCTGGTGTTCTGGGGTAGGCTCAAAGTTGGATTTTATTGTATACAGCACTGAGGCTGAGTATTTGGGGACAAAATGCTCTTAGGTTGTGATGTGGTTCAGCACATCCTCTAGCCCTCAGCTTGCAATGAGCAGGAGCAGAGGAAGAGGACATCAGCTGTGCAGGATCACAGCAAAGGTGGCTCTAGATTATCTAAAGCATAGTGGATGCTTTAACTATGAGGTTGCCCTATTTTGGCTGTATCTTGTATGTATGGGCTTTGGTTGCCCCGTATCCCCATGAACCCTGTGGCCTGCTGTGTTAGCACCCCTGGGGTAGGGTGCTCAGCCCACCATGACACAGCAGGGGCAGCAGGAGGAGAGCAGGGCTCTTGCCCTGCATTGCAGTGCAGGGTGAACAAAGCTGTGCTTGTCACCCACGCTGTCTCATGTGAGAGAGGTCTCCAGACACCAACGTCAGCCCAAGGGAACAACAGGGTACGGAGGAGCAGTGGCACCGAGCATGTCACATCCAGCCTGGGGTCCCTGCTGCCCAGGACAGGCAGGGCTGAGCAGCTCGGCTGCCTTGCAGCCCCAGATTGATGCTCTAGTCAGAGGGTATCAGCAGGGCTTGGATGCCTGAAATATGTCAGCAACCTTCAAACTCCCAAGGGCATCCTTGGTTTTATCTGCTCCTGCTGGCACCAGCCAGGGCACAGACACTGCTGCCCATGGCTCCAGGGTCAGCCCCACTATCTCTTCCAGCCTTGCTGCAGCTTCTGTGCTGTCTGGGGTAAAGGATGGTGATAAAGAAGGAGCCAGCTTAACCTGGGTGCGGTAGGGATGGAAATGGCTTGAGGGCATGGCAGGTAGAGGTATAGTCTGCCAGGAACATCTCAAAGACTCACCCTGCATCCCCACCCGTGCCTGTGCTGCAAGCTCTTCTCATCCCTGTGTCTGCAGCACAGAGGGAAGGTTGGGGGGAATGGACGACAGCAACTGCCCCTCTTCAACTCCGCTTCTGCCCCATGGAGAGCCCTGGTTAGCACAGGTCCCTGCGGGGCAACATCCTTCCGTTTGGCTTTTGCAGAGGGAGTCAGGGATGGACTTTCCCCAGCCATAACCAAGGAAAGGGGTGATGTGGTGCGAGTGGAGGTGTCTGCAGGCAGGAGCACCCCATGAGCACCCCGCACCCCAAGAAACCAGGGTGAGGGGTACAGAAGGGATGCCACCTCCGCAGCTGAAGCGCAGTCACCGCTACCCCCTTGCACTGCATCCCCACCACGGGCACACAGCCCCTGCCCGCACCGGTGGGGCTCTTGTGCCCGGTGACACCGGGGTCCCCCCGCGCTGTGGGCACCCAGCCGGGCGGAGCCGGGGCGGGGGGGGGGTGATGTGAGCGCGGCCCTCACCGCGGTGCCGCGGCAGGCGGGGACTGGAGGGCTCGTGAGCAGTGACGCGAGGTCTGGAGGAAGCCGCCGCTCGCCAAGGACAGCGCGCAGGGGAGCAGGGACCGGACGCGCGGTCCCGCAGGAGCACCCGGACAGGCCCCGGTGCCGCTTGTGAGTGTGCGGGGGGGGAGATGCGGGTGCTGCGGCTCCCTGAGAGCGGTCCGGTGCTAAGGTACCGCGGTGCTATGGGACGGGGAGCGCGCCCTGGCCCCGGGCGTGGAGCCGCGCAAGCGGAGGCTTCCCCCCCCCCCCAGGGGTTGCTGCGGGGCGGGTCTTTGTTTTCTTTCGACGAAAATCCGTTGTTTTTAACCAAATCTCGGGGCTGCGGTGCCGCAGGGTGGGCTTTGGGTGGGTGCTGGTGTTGGTGCGGGGACATGGGTGTGTCCTGGCCGGGATGTGGCTTTGTCTGTGCCCCGGTGCGGCAGAAACACCCGTCCTTCCGCGCAGGGGTCGGGGCTGGGCTCGGGGGAGAGGATGCCCCTGGTTTGGTACCCACCGGGATGCCCCTGGTTTGGTACCCACTGAGTTTTGCATTGGCAAATGGCACCCCAGCAGTGCTTCTTGGTACTTGTTGGCAGGGAAGGGCGGCAGGGGACTTGGGGATCTCCCCTGCCTCACAGGGAGGATGGATGCTGCTTTTTTAACCCAGGGAAGCTCCCTTTCCGCCCCATGGGCAGTACAGCGGGGCACTGGGTGTGTCGTGGCCTCCACCGCAAGCAGTCACACTGGGGAAGCCCGGCCAGGGCTGCAGAAATAGCTGCTGGGCTCCTGGGTTGAAACTCTGAACCCAAAGCCATGGTGGGGCTATGGAGAGGCTGTTGGGGTGCACACTGCTGGGGGGATAGAGGCTTCTTGGTAAGGGTGGGTTGTTCTGCAAAGGGGATGGGCTGTGCACATCATTTAGGGCTTCTTGTGGCACCCTCGTACTCTAAACCTCTCCATCATTTGGGTAGGGGGGCAGGTATCCCCCATGATGGGGTCTGCAGCCTCCAGGCATCCCCATGGATGTGTCTGGGCATCCCCCTCGGATCGGGTGCTGGCAAAGCAAGAGGGGGGCTGCTCCCCAGGCACTGCAGTGGGGATAGGGACGGGCTGGGGCTGGGTGTGGCAGGTGATCCTCCACCATTGCTGGGATGAGTTGTGCGGTCTCAGCCCCACTGCCGCATGCATGGAGGGTGCGGGCTGTGCCTTGCAGGGCTCTCTCTGCTCCATGGAAGGTACCCAGGCACCTGAGTGCCATTAAAGCCTATAAGGGCCAGGGGCTGGGATCCCTGCCCGGCCGCAGTGCAGCCCTGCTGCGCATGGGGCATGCGGGGGGCTCTCCCTCAGGCAGGGGGATGAGCCAAGACTCACAGCCTGAAAAGGGGAAAGGGGGTGAAGGCAGCTCTGGTTCTCTGCAACACTTCCTCCCCCCTGAAGGGTGCTTGTGGGTGTCAAAAGACTTCCTGCACCAGAGCAGGGTGACCGGGCCATAGGGATGGCTGCAGGGGTGGGTCTCCCCCACCATGGGTGCTCTCAAAGGGATGGAGAGCCAAGCCATGGGAGTTCAGATCGTTTCCCCTACTTGCTGTATGAAGCCAAGGTCTCCTGGGGGCAGAAAGGGGCAGAAATCCCCCCAGGGCAGCCCTGCTGTGCCTTGAGCTTCCCTGCAACGTGTCTCAGAGCCCAGCACTAGCAAGGAAGGGCCGTGCCTCATGGCTGGAGCTCAGCTGACGCTCACTGGTTCATTCATGGCCGGGCTCCATTTTCCAGCTGCTTCTCTCCCTCCCTCAGCTTTCTCAGAGCAACTGCACTGTCTGGGGACCTTGGGAGGGTGAGGAGGGCCCAGGCCACAGGAGGCTTGCAGCTATAAATGGTGCTGGTGTTTGTTAGAAAACAACCTGTGAGTTACTCTGGAAACACGGCTGTTTCCTGAGCTGCGCCGGGTGCGTGGGGTTTGATGGTGGCCTTGATTCAGTGCACAGGAACTCAGATTAAAGCTGGTGGCAACCTGCAGGGGCTGCCCAGCACTGAGCATCCTGAGCACTGAAGAAGCTGGGCTGGTCCCAGGGTTTGTGGGGGCAGCAGGGGGAGCGTTAAGGGGTGCAGTGAGGAGGGCCAGCCCTGCAGAGGATGCTTTGCCCATTTCCACCTATTCAGCACTTTCTTCCCCTCCTGGTTTCTCTGTGCGCTGGCAGGAAGCAGCACGGGGCCCATCTCTGCTGCTCCTGATCCCTGGTGTCCCCAGCTCAGTGCCGGGTACCAAAGGACCTGGTGACAGCATCCTCGAGCCTCCCCAGCAGCACCCATCCATCACCTACCCCGTGGGTAGCACACCCACAGTGATGGACGGCAGCAGCACCCAAGGGAGGGAGCAAAGCCTCCCTTAACTAACACAGCCCATGGAGAGGGGACTTTGGCTCATGTTGGCTTCTCTGTTCCACCCCACAGCTCCTCCTTGCCCTCACTCGAGTGATTTCCAGCTTGGGAAGCCATGGCACCTAAAGGAAAGGTAAGGGTGATGCACACACGCTGGGGATGGGTGACCCCAGAGCTGGGGCAGCATCTCCATCATGCAGCAGGGCTGAGTGAGACGTGCTTGGAGCACAGTGCTGCTCAGAGGCTGTTTATATTCCTGCCTCTCCAACCAGTGCTGTCTGGACGTGATGCAGATGGGGAAGTGCTGGTGGGGAGAGCAGGGACAGTGAGGAGCAAAAATCCTTTTGGGACCACAGTGGGATGGGGGAGAGAAGCAGGACTGTGGGAAGTGGAGGACAGACACTGCACTGGGGATTTGGGATTGCACTGGAGGGAAATCTCACCCGAGCCTGCTGCAAGGCATGCAACCCTGCCTTGGCCTCTCCTGCTCCGTCTGGATTTCTCCCCCTCGACAAGCCTGATGCAACGTGGCAGCCGGGTGAGCAGGTGATCCCTCCAGCCAGGAAAACATCTTGGATTGAGAGGAAAACCCTGCCTTGGTGGGCAGCTGCGGCTGATGGGGTGCAGCCTGCCTGCGGGTAGTGTGCTAGGCAGGGGAGGAGCCCATGTGCACAGCCTGCTTTCACTGCTGGAGCCAGGCTCTGGTTTCCATTCCCTCGGGAAATGAAGGAATCATTGCCTCGAGCGCCATTACCCGCAGCTTCCTGCCCAGCTCAAGGGTTGGTTGGCTCTGGATGGGGAAACCGAGGCACGGTGTGGGTGAGCATCACCCCGATGGGGGTCCAGGACCCCCAGCAGCCGTGCGGTGGGACAGCGTGCAGCCACGCTGGGAATTCTGCTTCCACCCTCCCGGCCCCAGCCTGGCTTATTTTTAGCTGGGAGGTCCTGGGCAGGCTGGGATGACTCAGAGGCTGGAGGAGGGGAAGCGAGGCCCGATTTGGGAAGGGGGTTGGAATGTGAGGAGGGTGCAGCAAGCGGGATGCGCTTGCCCTCCCCAGGGGTGTTTCTGCACTTCCATGGGGCTCATTCCCCCATGAGTTCAAGGAGCGTTGGGCGATGCAGAGCAATGAGCTCCTGCCTCAGTTTCCCCACCATGACAGCACTGCAATTTGATAGCTCAGGAGGCAGGAACACAGCCCTGTTCCTGTTACCACCTAACCAACATCTTGCCTCCCCATCACCACCCTTGTCCCCTCCTGCTGCCTCCAGGCAGCTCCTTTGCCCTGCAGCTGCTTAGTTCCATTCCTGCGAGGTCCATGTGGGCAGCAGCTCGCACTGAGCCAGGAGGGTCCGGGAGCTGCTGGGAAGCATGGCTAAATCCAGCGCTCCCGATGAATCACCTGCAATACGATCCGTCCTGTGCCATCGAAGGGTAGCGTCTCCTCTTGCCTGATGTGGTTCCCACCATATGGGATACGGGTGCCAGCAGCTCCTCCTGAAAGAGGAGCTCCATCCTGTGGGATGTGCCCAGCCTGGACTGGTTTCTCTCTGGAAGAAGGGAGTACAATGGCTGGGCTCTTTCTGAAGGTGTTGGATGAGATATGCAGTGATGCTGTTGTGCTGTGGCGTTGGGGTGGGACCCAGGGCAGCGATGGATATAGAGCTGCCTGTGTCCATCCCATTCAGTTCATTCTTGGAGGTACTGGGTCAAGGATGCTGGTGCTGCCTGCCTGATGCCCATCATCTCTGGGGACACATTAGCTTTACATGCCTGTGCTGGCAACAGCCCTGGGCCTCTGTACAGCTCCTGGAGATGCAAGCCCTGCAGCATACCCTAAGTAGGTGATCCCATGGAGGTGTAGGTACATGGTTGGAGCATGGTCACCGTTCCAGGGTGCTGACACAGCTGAGAGCCCCGACTGAGCCTGGTTTCAAATCAGCCTCCACCCAGGGTTGGGGCTGGTCCCATGCAGAGCCTGAGCCCAGGCTCCCCTGGGCAAAGCTGACCTGGGGAGAAGCTGCGTGTGGGCATCACTCCTGGGACCCCCATTGTGCAGCCTGGAGGTGCAGAGGGGCACACAGAAGTGGGTCATGGCAATCCCTGGCTTTTCTCAGGCTCCTGGAAGTCTTTATCAAGGATCACTGCTCTGACCCCTCAGACCAGCCTGGGCCCTGCAGGGTGATGGGACAGGACAGGCTGTTGGCAGCTCTGTTAGTTAGCAGCCCACAGTGATTTTGTGCCTGTATCTCCTTGCCTTGAGGCCATGCAGGGCTTGGGCATCCTCAGCATCCAGAGGGTTTCCCTGCTCACAACAGGCGGTGGAAAATGACTTCCTTCATTGTTCTGAATCCAGCCCTGATAACTCCCTTCAGCACCGCTGCGCTGCAGGGGGATTATCCTGGTCCTTGGATGCCTTCCCTTGCCTTGCCTTCAAACTCTCTGGTTCTTGCTGGTGCAGGGGGAGGATTGTATCCAGCTTAAACACAGAGCCCAAAGAGCAATGCCAGCAGACAGGGAGGGAAGGCTGTGTACGTACTCCATGACCTGACACAAACAAGTTAGAGGACAGGGAAAGCAAACAGGAAAGCAAACAAATGAGAACAAGTGTTTATGTTTGAGGCTCAGCTTTGCTTTCAGGCAGCACGAGCAGGAATGGATCTGACCTCATTCCTGTTCGGCTTCAACTTCTTCCCCACCCCACCAGAGGCTTCTCCTTCCCCTTTCACCTTCTCTTCTCTCCTCCTTTGCCTTAGGTCTACAGGGGGTCAGTGAAGGAATTCCCAGGCTTTGATGCCAGCCAAGATGCAGAGGCCTTGTACAATGCCATGAAGGGATTTGGTATGGATGCTCCTCCAGACTTGTACCCTATATATCCCCTGTTCATTCAGCTGACTTGGTATCCTGCATTGCCTCTCCTCTCAGCTGCCTGCTTTAGCAGTATGCCAGGACCTCTCCTGGTTCCCCTTTCCTCCCTGGAGCCAGCTCAGTTCCGCTTCTCCTCCCAGCCCCAAGTCAGAAGCAGCCTGGGGCTTCTTTGGGGCAGGAGGGCTATGATGAGCCCAGCCATAGCCCCAGCTATGGGGTTAGGTGTGACTGCTGGCTGTCCCCACAGGCAGTGACAAGGAGGCCATCCTCGACCTCATCACATCCAGAAACAACAAGCAGCGAGTGGAGATCTGCCAAGCCTACAAGTCCCAGTATGGGAAGGTAACAGCAGAAGCACTCCCTGGTCCTTGCACCCACTGCAGGTGGCTGTGGCTGCCACCAACCACCCCACACAGAGACCCACAGCTCCCTGGACCCATTCAGAGATGCTGTGGAGCAAAGTGTCCCCCATCCCCTTTATCCCCCTCCACCAGGACCTCATTGCAGACCTCAAGTACGAGCTGACAGGGAAGTTTGAGCGGCTGATCGTGAGCCTGATGCGGCCCCCGCCTTACAGTGATGCCAAAGAGATCAAAGATGCCTTAGCGGTAAGGGGTGGGCAGCCCCCCCAGGGCCCCTCCGAGGACACCCTGGCTGTCCCCACTGCTCATGGGGCTGTGTCTGTGCCCACAGGGTGTTGGCACGGATGAGAAGTGCCTCATTGAGATCCTCGCCTCCCGCACCAACCAGGAGATCCATGACCTGGTGGCTGCCTACAAAGATGGTGAGGGCTGGGGAGGGCCAGGGGCTGCCCTGTGTCCCCTTGGGCCAGGGCAAGGGGCAGAGATGAGGGGATCCAGCTCTTCAAACCTGACTTCTCCCTCTTCCACCAGCCTATGAGAGAGACCTGGAGGCTGACATTGTTGGAGACACCTCAGGCCACTTCAAGAAGATGCTCGTCGTTCTGCTCCAGGTATGTCCATCTGACCAGCATCTGTAGGTGATGGTGCCTGCACCCAGCAGGGCTGAGCCCACTGCTGTCCCACAGGGAGCCAGGGAGGAGGATGATGTGGTGAGCGAGGACCTGGTGGAGCAGGATGCCAAGGTGAGGTTGGCAGGTTGCTGGGATGGGCAGGCAGGGATGGGGCTGGTGGCACATCCAGACAGCAAAAGGCGGATGGGCATCAAGGGCACCCCTGCTTGGGCAGAGCCCCATGAAGGCAGCACCCTGACTCAGGCTCTGCTGCCTTCCCCATCCCACAAGGACCTGCTGGAAGCTGGTGAGCTGAAATGGGGCACGGATGAGGCCCAATTCATCTACATCCTTGGCCGGCGAAGCAAGCAGCACCTCCGCCTGGGTGAGCATCTCCTGCAAGCTTGGGGTTGGGCTTGAAGGGATCTGGGCAGCTTCTGCAGGCCTCATCCCGCTCTCATCCCACAGTCTTTGATGAGTACCTGAAGATTTCTGGGAAGCCAATCGAGAGGAGCATCCGGGGAGAGCTCTCTGG